ACATTTAAAGTATAAAACTTTTTATATACATATATTCTTACCATAATTGCTTTATATTTATGATGACTGGATGTTTAATATGTTTATTTGTGCATGTTTTATGACTTACCATCTTCTAGAAATGTTTAATAATATATAATATAAATTATATATTATTAATATGTTTTTAGCATTAATTTTAAGTGAGAATATAAATTACTTAGGAATTGCAAAATAAAATTTAAATTGTTAGTATTCAATAGACTGTAGAGTAATAGTTATTACTTCATCTATGAATAAAATTTTAATTAAATAATGGTAAGGTTTTTGACAAATACAAAATATTTAAAAAATAAATTTATCAAGTTATATTGGCCAAAAAATATAAGGATTTTATTTTTTTTTAATTTATAACCTATAAATTAAAAAAATAAATTCTAATTGTATTAAAACAAATTCGGCCTCTTATTCGGTAAATGCAATCTTTCTTATATTTTAAAATAAATAATATTATTGTTAAATTTTTAGATTTTGCTGAATCAATTAATTATTGTTAGTTTTTGTTTAGCTTTTCAAGGTAATATCATAAATATTTTTTAATAACTAAAATATTGCTTAGTAGTACATTATAAAGATGTGTAGATGAATGAAATTTCTTAATGCATTTTTTTTCTTCAAAATTTGATCGGGCTACCCCCGGAATTTGTTCAAAACTATAAAAATATAATTTGAGTCAAATTTCATTAATTTTAGTCAACCCTAAACCGTGCTTCAAAAGGGTTGAAAATTCAATCATGAGGGTAGTTTTCCAATAATTGTAGTTTATCTCAAAAGTTATGACTTTTACTTAAACATGGGAGTATTTATTTTTGCGTAGTTTTTTGCGATAATATCCTAAAGTATTAACGATAGGAAAATATATTTTATGATAAAATTTAATTCAAAAAATAAATTTTATTTTAGTATTTTTTTCATAAAACGGCTCATTCGATCACAAAATAACAAAAACTCATTTCTAGAGTTTTTTATTTATAGTATCATACGTGACTAATCTCAATGCCTTAGTTTTACATTGGAACGGCAAATTATTACCTGATTTATGTAGTAAACAAATAGTTGATCGACTACCTAAAATTATTTCAAATAATAAAAATGACCAACTATTAGTAGTACCAAAGTTGTTAAACAGAACTTCTAAATCACAGACTGAGGTTATATATCAAATATTGGTCGATTGGGGTTTAACAAACAACGTAAAAGCTATGTGTTTTGATACTGCAGCCACTAACACAGGTAAATAAAACAATTGTTTATTATTACCTACTTTATTCAGCCGAAATTAAATTATTTTAATTATTTATATAAATTATTATTTTTGTGTAAAAAATCACCGTTTTTCATGTGGTTACTTTTACTTAAAACTATATTAACTGAAATCTATAACTGTATATCCTTCAAAATTTAATTGAAAATATAAATAGTAATATTAATTATCGTTTAGGCAGGATTGGAGGTACGTGTGTTTTGTTAGAACAATGGTTAGAAGAAAACATTTTATACTTTCCGTGTCGTCATCATATTTACGAGATTATTTTAAAATGTACATTTAATATAAAATTTGGTATAACTTCAGGACCGAATGTCCCCTTATTTCTTCAATTTCAAAAGTCTTGGCCGAAAATGAATACTGAAAATTACAAGTCCGGTATCAACGATATATTTATTTTTGAAAAATTGCAAAGTTTTATTTATTATATTTTAGAGTTTTGTTTCAATCAATTAAAACTATTCCACTTTAAAGAAAATTATAGAGAATTTATTAAGCTAACAGTAATTTTTTTAAATGGATTTCCGCCTAGAGGTGTATTATTTAGAGCTCCAAAAGCGATTCACCATACTCGATAGATGTCAAAAGTGCTTTATTCTCTTTAATATGTATTTGTCTTGAAGAATTCAAGTTGACACAAAAAGAATATAATTCAATCTCGAGTATTTTCTTGGCTAATTTATACATCAAAGCCTGGTTTAATGCACCAATTGCTGCTTTTTCGCCTCGACAAGATCTATAATTTTTAAAAATATTTAATATGAAGAATTATCTAAAAATAATTTGAAAAAATTTGTTAACCATTTATGATATTTATTGAGACAATAAATAATGTGACATTGTTGTTGAGACAACATTGCTTTAGCATTTTTAGATAAACATATTCCACACGAGACAAAAACTAAAATGGCTTTTAATATTAAAAGAATTGACACTGAAAATTTCGATGGGGAAGAAAATTATGTCATAAAAAATAAACGCATAAATTTGGACTTTAATGAAGTATCAAGCTTTATAAAAAATAAAAAAATAGAAGATTTTGTGACAAGTAAAACTTTAAATTTTTTGATCGATTTAACATTGATTATAGTTTTATGGAAACAAACCCATCTATATGAGGTGAAAATCTAAGTTATTGTAAAGTTCAAGAAATTATCAATCATTTAAAAGTGGATGATATTGCAGAACGTGCGGTAAAGTTAATAAAGGATTTTAATAAGATAGAATCAAAAAACGAGGAACAAAAACAGAACACATTACAAGTTGTAATACATTATCAAAAGCAATTTCCTAACAGTAAAAAAGCTACACTAAGGGATAAATTATTATTTATTATTTATTCATTTTTTATTTATATTTCTATAATTTATATTTGAATTTGGTTATTGTATAATATAGTAATCATTTATTATGTGTACATTTTATATTGCATTATTTATGATTATTTAAAAGAATTAAAAAGATTTGTTGTCTTTTTACAATTATTTTAGAACGAAACTTATTATTGAAGTATAAGTTTAACTTATACTTGTAAATTAACAAATACATATATGTTTTTTTTTATAAAAAATATGAAACATTTAATTTAAAACAACTTTTATTCATGCACTCTTTTTAAACACAAACGATTCGTCCTATATATTAAAATTGTGAAAATTTCAGATTTTTACTCTTAAACATATATTTAGTTAAACTTTTAAATTTTGCGAGGTAAATATTTGATTTATGATTTTTTTAGTAATAACTTTTTTTATGTAAAATATTCATATCTACAATATTTTACTATACAATTTTATATAAAAGTCATAACTTTTGAGATAAACTACAATTATTGAAAAACTACTCTCATGATTGAATTTTCAACCCTTTTGAGGCACGGTTTAAGATTGACCAAAATGAATGAAATTTGACACAAATTTTTTTTTTATAGTTATGAACAAATTCCGGGAGTAGCCCGTGCAAGTTTTCAAAAATGATAAATAAGGACCACCCTAAAACACACTGTAATGTAATTAGTAATTTTAAAATTATTTCGGTTAAAACATTTCGATTAAAAAAAAAAAATTTAAATAAACAAATTTTGCGTGAAAAGTTAATTTTTAACTATAATATAGTTCATTTAAAAAATATAACAGTCCTTAAGATCTTCAAAAAATTTTTATGAATTCTCTTTGTGTAGTTTGTAATAAGATGGTTTTGTTTTTAACTAAACATTAAATTTAATTAATGTTGTTTAATTCCTTTTGTACTTACCCCTGTTCTGATACTCGAGAGCTCATGTATGGTTGTGGTGACATGGTTTCAAATAATCCTGTATCATACATCCTCGTCAATACCAGTGTCCTAAATATTTAAAATTATCCTTTACACTATATAATCAACATGTACCACGGTTTCTCTCTTTGTATTTCTCTAATAATCTAGCAAAAGTGGGTCGAACTTTCGATTTTGTGCAGCACGACACGAACTGTTGCACAGCTGACCTATGTAGTAACTTTCATAAATTCATTATCATATTTCACATTTTTATTGAATGTATTTTTTTTAGTCGTAGCAGTTTTAAGTGTGGCATCCCTATTTCGTGAAGGTAAAAACATTATAAATATAAACTACTCATCTCACTTATTTTCAGTCAATAGTTATCATCGCTAAAAACATTCAGCAAATTAGGGTTACAGCATAGCATATACAATGTATCTGAAAGTTGTCCTAAAGTAATGCCTACAATAAAGGGCAATTGCACAGGGTCCTACATAATACTGGTCTTAGGAGGAAATAGTATATAGAGGGTTCAATAAGCAAGAAAACGGATTTCTCTTGTTCTCATTATGTGCAACAATTGACCTGTTTCCATATTTACTGAACACTCTGTATACTATGATTAACATCATTGTTTGAAAATGTAATTTTCTATTATATTATCAAGTTAATAATAGAAGTCTCTATTTAAAAATATTGAATTTTAGTTTTTTTCCCTGAAAGCTAAAGTTTGTCAAAAAAATCAGTTCATTGTGAGCTGAGAAAAAGTAGTAACAAAATTAAAAATCTATTAAAATAAACACATAAAATAATTATCTACTCAGTTTCATATTCAAGCTAAAAATAAAACTAATTTTATGAGCTGTTAATAATTTAAAAAATAACCATTTATGAATAATAAGAAAGTACACACAATTATATACAGCTGACAAATATACTTACATGGAATATACTTAAATTCTAAGTCTAGTTTTAATGTATCGAATTTAATTAATTAATCGTTTTTGGATTAGCATTTTTTATGTTGTCTAATTTCAAAATTGGCATTATAAATATATTTGCTATTAGTTAACCTTATTATAAATAATAATAATAGTAATTATATAAAATATTTTGTTATAGTTTATGATGAAAAATGTGAAGTTTGTAACAAATCGGAAACGGTAGTATTTTTAAACCCTTGTTTACACCGATTGTGTGCAACATGTGCTTACGATGCTGATTTTAAAAATAAGTCTAAATGTCTGGTTCCATCATGCAAAAGAAACATAGAATATTACCACATTATTAGTGCGTTTATTACTTCAATTTAGAACATTGAATTATTTTTTTACAGCGTTATATGCAGATTATTCACTAAAGAAACAGGTCATTTGTTTATAACAACGAGAACAAAAAAAACACGTTTTTTTACTTACTGAATACCCTNAAGTATGTCTAGTTCCATCATGCAGAGGATATATAAAAAATTACGAAAATATTAGTGTGTATTGCTCTTAATTTTAGAATCTACACAGTGATTTATTAAGCATACTTCAATTTTTTTATAAACCATTTAATGAAAAGTAAATTATTAGAAAAATGAATTCAAAATGATAGATTTTAACAGTCTTCTTCCTCTTTTTTCTTTCCTTAATTTCAAATACTTGGGATTGGCCACCCTTATCCTTAAAATACCTTAAAATTAGTTTAACTTGCAATTTTGAAATTGTCATCATTAAATAGAAAAATTTATGAGAATTAAAAAATTGTGTTGTTAAGATTAATATGCCTACGGCGGCGGACTAGCCACCTATCCCGGAGAATAAAAAGGTTTAAAAACCTCCACCTTTGGGGAAGGCCGCTATGGCCTTTTATGGTTTAATAAAAGCGTAAAAAAAAAAAAAGATTAATATGCAGTCAGGAAATTTTATAATAACTATTTTTAGTAAATTTATCAAAAAAGCTTAATATTTTTTTTGCATTTTTATCATAATAGAACACTTAGATAGAAATCATAGTTATCATTTTTATTAACTTTTAATGTTTAAAAAGATTCACAATTTATATATTTAGAACTTAATTAATTTTAATGATTTACTTTAACTAAAGAAACCAATGAAAAAGTTGTTGAGTGTATTATAAAATTGAAATACAATAGTAAAAATCTATTGTTAAATTCAGGTGACATTAAAAGTCATTTTTTTTTAAATTAATTATATAGCAACATGTTATTAAAACATTGGAATATTATACAGAGTGAATTTTTTATCATAAACCACTCATATACTTAATGAATAAATATAATTTTTTTTTTTTAGTTATATAAATTGTAATTGGCATTTGAATTTTAATACAACTTCATTCGTTTATTAGATATAAACATTAAAAGTTAAAATTTTAGCTTCGATGTTTTTTTTTTTTTTGTGTCTGTTACCACTTTTTCTCAGCTNGAAGCTGTGAAAGTATTTGTTTTACTTTGATGTGTTTTTTTTTTTTTTTTGTGTCTGTTACCACTTTTTCTCAGCTCTCACCGTACAGATTTCTTTCAACGATATGTCAAAAGATCACAAATCGTATCTAGTCGAATACATTACCCTCAAAAATTGAAAAAATTTCCCTCGTTCCCCATAAATGGAGGAAACCTCCAAAAAAATTACAAATTAAAAAATTTTTTTTACTAAAAACTGCCGTAACTTTTTCAAAAATGAACATATCAATATAATTTTTTTTCTATAAATGCTTGATGTCTTTACCCTATCATTTGGTATATTTTTTTTGTAAATCTGACACTTAAACTGCTCACAGGGGGGCATTTAATATGACAACTTTTTTACAAAAAATTTACTTTTTCAACTTAACTTTTTAAAATGTTCCAGATGGTCTGACACTTTTATATATATCTTAAATTAAAGCTAATGTTATATACTTTAATTTGAAAAGTAAATTTGACCTCTGGACTTGTCTTCATGGTGAAAATGGCTACTGAATACTATTTTTGTATGAAACTTCTCAATTTTATAATTTACATTTTTACTTTAAAATGCTATAACTTTTTAGAAAATGTATGGATCAATACAATTTTTTCATGAGAAATAATATTTTTTAATAATCCCTTTTGTCTTTAAGATTAGGTCCCCAAGTTAATTTTTTGTCCAATATTATTCCTAGGTATTTGGTTTCGTTTTGGTTATTAATTAATATATTGTTAAATGTTATAGCTGGACATTTTTCAGAACGGAAGGCGAATGTTACATGACTTGATTTATTTTCATTAATTTTTATTTTCCAGTTCTTAAAACACGATTCCATAATGTTTACATTCGTTTGAAGGTGGTGGGCTGCTTGAGAAATATTACTACGAGTAGAAAGAAAAGCCGTATCGTCGGCAAACTAAATCTTTGACTATAACTTAATTTCTAATTTTGTTATTTTTTTACTTTAATATTTTATTGTAGTGTTTTTATTATAAATATATATATATAAATATATAATAAATATATATCTTACCCCAATTATTTTAGATTCTGTGCATTTTATCATTTTGGATAATTCAGTTTCAATGACCATTTTATATTTTATTTTGTATCTTATATTTTTATAAGATAATTAATTTATAAAATTTAATAAAAGGAACAAAATCTATGGTGCTCTAGTTTTGCCTTTGACTTGCCTCGAGCCAAGATGGATCTTCTTTGGGGTTTTTGTTAAAGTTAGGCTGGTTTTATAAGTTTAGCTTACAACATTTTTATAAAACACAATCATTAATAAAAAATGGAGGGTAATTTGTTTAATAAATCACCCTGTAATATTCTTTAATACAACTTTTCAATTATATTATTAACAGATTATTTTTTCCATTGCAGATGATAACGGTTTATGTTATTCTTGCAAAGAAGAAGCATCATCAGTAACAATAATTCCATGTTTTCATAAAATTGGTAATTCTTGTGCTTATGAACAAATATGCTCAAAATCAAAAAGATGTCCACAATGTTACTTTTCAATTCCATACTTTTTTAAAATAAGTATGGAAACAATATTAATTAATCATTTTATTAATATATATATTTTTTTTTTATTTGCAAAACGGGAGTAGCGTCAATAATATCTAATAAATAAAATACAATGTGTTTCGTATGGGGCATAGTTAATTACTATGATAAAATAGTGCTTGGATACGAATCTGTAGATTGAATTTTATTTTAGTAATGATTTTTAACAAATGTTTTTGAACTCTTGGATGACGATTTTAACCAAGCTAACGTTATGGTCGAGTTTAACCATAAATAACGCTTATTCATATTTAAATTCAATTTATGCACTATTTTTTCTTTTAACTGACATAATAAAATTGTCACACACAATTTTAATCTAGTCAAAGTGATTTAATTTAGTGGAGATACTACTGAGTTCGTTGCGATTAGTCGAGTACACAAAATTTCATTACTGCTATTCGTTTTTATATATACTAGCAGCCATAAGCGTTAATAGATGTGTCAGCAAATTCGAGAATATGAATAGACTGCACATGATCGTGTCCAATGATACACTGTAGCATTTTCATTTTTTCAATTTGCTGTTATAATTCTTATAATTACGCATAACCTTGTCATCGCGCTACTTCTATTAACATTGCATAGTGGGGTGTGTAATAAGGTTTTATAAATGTGCTTACATTATAAGTTACTCGTTCCATATGACCCAGTCGTAAATATTCATTCATAAATTATGTGTAATTTAATTTCAATTTTTCGTTTTAAGTCATTTATTTTTAGCTACTAAAAATTGCTTGAGTACTATTGCTTACGACTCACCCAATTGCTTGCAATTTTTTCGCAAAGGTAAACATACCACAATTTTCCCATTTTCATCTGTAGTTACCAATATATTAAAATCTCAAGACATTCGTTTTCTTCCGCGATAAATGATATTTTATTAACTACATCTTCTATACAGGCTTCAAATATTTTAGATTTGTAATTTTAACTCTCATTTCTAGGATTATTTTGAGCATTTAATAAGTAAAATAGTGTCGCGTTCCTTACGGGAACAGAACAATCAACAATCCAATCAAACTTTGTTTCTCTAAACATTTACTAAGGGTCTAAATTTTAAAGTTTCAAAAAATACTTCAGCGCCTAACAAAACGTCTATTTTACTAGGTATAGCAAACTATGGGTCGGCTAAATCTATGACCTCGGGAATTTTCCAATCGGTTATATTGACAGGTTTCATAGGCTAAATCATAAAACTTAGTTAGATAACATTACTAAGTTTATAAGCCTATTAATACAAATTCGAATATCATAACAAAATTTATTAATTCATATAAATCCATTCTCTTATTATAAATTTCTCAATTATATTCGAATGAATGTAAAAAATATTTGTATAGAGTTGCATTTGATTTTATAGCGAAAAATTATTATTTACTGTTCATATTAATAAAACTTCAGTAAAATTAATTTTAGAATTAATAAATAATGTTTGCCAAAACTGCTACAATGAAATTGGGGTAAAAATCATGAAGCATTGTCACCATTATATTGGAAAGAATTGTATAAATAAATATAAAGATCATACGAAGTGTCCAGTAAAAAATTGTGAAAAAATTCAAGACCATTCTTTGAAAAATGGTAAGGACTTAAATAATGTGATATTATTTAAATTTAACCACAACTTTCATTTTAAGTAAAAATATACAAAAATAATGACTTTTACAAGCATGGGGTCATCTTTTTTTTCATTAATATAAATATTACAATAAGTACGTATGTTATAAAAATGTAGATTTTAAATAAGTTATATTGATTGACGATCTTACTTTGGTTTGAAATGTAAAAAATTAATTTTTTTTGTTTTTTTTTTAAACCCCAGTTAAAAGGAAGCATAGGATAGTAAAATTCCAGTATAGAGAACTCTTGTAAAAATTGATATCCTAGATATATGTGATTTATTTGTTTTTATAGAGTTCAATAAATATCTTATTTCGGTTAAACATTGAGCTAGCTAATTGTTAACCAATTGTACATCTTAGTCGACAGGAACTCCTGAGAGTTCTTTATCTATCAAAAGATAAATATCAGATGGGATGGTGTAAACATCTTGCTGTTGAATATATATATAGAGCACTAACTGTAATAGTTCATTATTGTAAGGTATTTCCATTACTTCTAAAATATCGTCTATTGTGTATTTCTAAGCAGAAAGAATGTTAAAGTTTTACGTTTATGACGTAAAAAATTGACCTATCTTTAATAGTACTGTTTAACAAAATAAGTTAATTAAATTAGTTATTGTGAACATCATATAATTAAGTGTAACTGCTCAGCAATTGGTAATGTGGTGTTATTATCTGGATAGTATTAATTTCGTGGTGAATAAAAACTAATTTTGAACATTACAATTTAGAATAACATAATTTAAATCTTCCTAAATAATGCAGTCGCACATTCCTTTTTTATATTTTATCCGTTGTACAATCGTCCATAACAAATTATCATTGTAATAACAAAACGCCCAGCTGACTACTACAGTACTATCAATAATTCAACCGGTCCCAGATGTCTGTCAACGAGGCATGCACTGATGTCGGCGTTTGTTTCCCCTTCCGGTCCATGTGTGTCGTCGCCGTCAAGTGGTCTGGCCGTTTTTGTTTAAATGTGTTTTTTTGGCCGGTCGTCCTTTCTGTCTCCGCCTTCTACTTCATTTTTGCGTATATTAAACATCTCATGGCTGCCTAACTTTTACTTTTGCCTTCAGACACTTATGAACTTGAAAATATATCTATGTTATTTTCAAGATACCGACCAATTTATAAAAAATAAATTCATATAACATCTTATTTTTGTCGAGGGTTACACAATATCAGTTTTTACCTATCACAGAAATGTTCTAGAATTCGTAAACAACTGATAAGAGATAACATTAATATGATTATACTGCAAAAACCAAATGACATATGTGCTCTAAACGAAACAAAAAATAAAATACAGTTAATTCATAGAAATGTCGAGGAATCGAAAAATTTTGTACGTACATACATGTCACTGATAGTAGACGCTCTTTGTGAAGTAGCCAATCAAATCAGAGTTGAAGTGAAAGAAAAGCAATAGTACAGAAAGCCATTGTTTCGGCACTTGGAGAAAGCCTGTTTTAGAGTAAAAAATGATCTAATAATATTCTTTACATCTGAAGAAAATAATATGATGCATGGCTCTAGCAAACCCTCTGCATCCCAGAAAAATGAAGAAATAAAGTCTAAATTTGATTAAAAAATGTATTTTCTACATCTCAGGAAGATGAAAAATTAAAAACGGCAAATGCTGATAAGCCTAAACGTTCGTTTTTCAACAGCATGCAGCAAGAAGATTTTTTTAAATGATTGTTAGAAATAGACGCGGTTTAAGGTCTAAAGTACATCAAAGGTAATGATTTTATTATAGGCAATACTAGGGTTAAAATAATTTACGATTTTTCATCTATTTATGTTGAAATATTAGTACCACGATCACTAAGTTATGGCATTTATTAACTTTTATTTAAAAGTAAACCTGTAATTGGAACATTCAATATAATCGATTTATAGGATTATAAAAGTTTACTACTTTACACTGATGCACGTTTAGGTCAAAGTGGAAAACTGAAAACCAATTCAGGTTATAAATATAAATATGTCATTAGTATCTTGTTTCCTCCGAAAACAGACAGAGATGTGTTAATCTACAAAATTTTAAACAAAAGTCTTAAGTTATACACGTATTGTAACGATCCTAGTGATCTTATAGTTTGATTAAAACTTTTACGCGTTTGTGTACTTTTATGTTTTAAAACACTTTTATCTTCTTTCTGGCGATGGAATAGTAGGCGTGATCATTTGACAGGCTGGATGCGTCTACATGCACCAGTAAATTAGGGCTACCAGCTAAATTCTGATAATAATTTTTGATACGGAGTAGGCATTTGAAGAAGTTTGAAATAAAATAAGTAAATAAATATCACCAGTATCGATGTAAATCAATTCGATTGTGTCCTATAATGTGGTTTAAATTCATCGTAGTAATACTTGTGTATTAACGTCTTACTAATGTAAAGTATTGCTAAACCGACATAAATAGATTTTACAAATTTAACAATATTTGTATCCATTACGACAGCGCACAACCTTTCACCATTTTTATTTAATCTTTGAAGGTCGGTTGGTTCACAAGTTTGCTAAGATAATTGAGACTGAAAATCAGCTCAACAACAGCAAGTCTAACTTTAGGTACAGGTTGCTATACTCACCAAGAGTTGAGCATGATGTGACATAATACAGATTGTTGAACCGGTTATATGGTAAATAATAAATGCGTTGGCGTGAAACACCATGGTGATGTCATTGNCATGAAACACCATGGTGGTGTCATTGTTCTCATAGAATGCATACGACAATGATCGCTACTGTACGGTAAAATCATTGATGATGGTAATATTCTTATCTAAGCGTCTGGTAACCGATGATAATATTCTTAGAAAATAATAGACGTATATTTGATTTTAATAATATTCAGACAGCGTCACAACTGTTCTCATAAACTTTAGACGCTTATGCAATGTCATGATACCCTTGATGTTAAAAATATGCTTACCTAAACGTCTATAAACCGATTATAAAATTCTTAGGTAATAATAGCATTGTTCTTATAAATATGATTAACATAATTACAATTTAACACTTCATTTAGCCACATCTCTACCCTACTCATTAGCGTTAGGTGAGAGGACATATCATCTACATATAATTTACTCTAATTTTCAGAAACTGCCATAAGTGATTTTTAAATTTATCTTTAAACCTAGTCATGAAAAATGGTAATAACAAATTTGCCATTTCTATGTCCTTAATTTGCGCATCAAATTAATTTTTTTAATTTTCAAACTCATTTATTTTATCCTGTTCTATAATTTGTTTCTTTACCCAATTTTTAAGGAGACTAATTGTTATGTTTATCAGAATACTCGGAAATTAGTCTACTACGTTAAATAACCTATTATTAATTTGAATAGTAACCAGTTAATTTTTGTACTAAGTCAATATTAGTTTTAACTGAAAAGCTATCGAATTTTTTAATAGATGAAAAAACACTTACTATGTGTTATAAAAATTGTAAATCGGCGCATAAAATTGACACTACCTTCTTGCTAAGTCTTGTTTATTATAATTAACACGTTGAACCTCTATTTCAATATCTACCCACAGATCTTTTATAAGCAATTTTTTTGGTAATAAACTTGTGTTAGGATTGGTTTTTAAGCATTTCTGTTTTAGTATCGGGAAACAATGCCTGTGTAACGTTCAACTACATTTTCCTCCATTTTTATAAATAAAATTACCGGAATTTTTTTTAAATTATTTATTTGGCTCTTATTACTTAATTTGACATTGTTCCAAAAATATGCAATTTTTTAGTTATTTTGTGGGTACTTTTCAACTTAAACATTTTTAATATTTATTATTTTTTAAATAATAATTAAAATATATTTTTAATTTTAAATAATATTAGCCACAAATAATCAATTCTTGTTATTTAGCTATGGTTTCATGTTACCATTATTGTAAAATACTATAAAATAAAACACAGACCGCACATCCGCTATTAGCGACTGATGAATTGAAAATAAAATTATCGAATATTTTAACAGTATTTAAAACCATAGAAATTGACCATCGTGGTCAGTCGACTTCAGTAAGTAGTGTTATGCTTAATGCCATTCATTAGTCTCAGTACTTGGTTGTCGTTGTCCGGCTTTCTGTAACAAGTGAAGACTTTGTTCAGTCCTTTTTATCTTACCTAATTTCGTCTTCTACATATCTGAGTACTTGTTTCATGCACTTTATCTGAACCTCGTACTTTGATATATTTCTTACTTGGTATGTCTAATATTTGCATTGATAAAAAATTAGGTCGATAATATTTTTATTGTTAATCAGTCATATATTTGTTACTGAAACTAAATATTTATTTGCTTCATAAAGTTTTTATTGTACTAATAAAAAGTTATTGTCCGCTAATACCTAGTTGTTTCCTTCCTATAACTACAGCTTTTCGATACCCATAGTTACTGTGGAGTGTTAACAGAGCATACAGAACTGCTGTACGATCACACATGCGTAAGTATCTACGCATACTCAACCTCATCATCATTATAATCATATTCGTATACTCAATCCATCTTCATTTTACCTTTGTGATTTGTTTTGTATTGTGATAATTAATTAAAAATTTTAATTATTTAAATTTTTTACATTAGACAGTGAAAAAGTATGCTGTATTTGTCTCATAAAAAGATCATTGACAGTAACATTAAAACCTTGTTATCATAAAATATGCAATGATTGTGCTAATGAGCTAACCGTACTGAATATTACTGAATGTCCATTATGCAGAGAAAACATAGTATATTTTAATAATATAGGTAATTATTTAACAGTTTGTAATTTATCCTTACAAAAATAATTTTGAATTTCATATAAATTAGAATGACAAGCATTAGTCTAATTTTAACAAATATTATTAAATACTGAAAAACCCTTGTTCTTAAAAAAAAGAAACAAAATTATTGGTATCTTTTTAATTCTTCATCCTTCATTATAGACTTAAGATTGAATTTTTTAAATATTTATGCTATTATTTTATTAATATTTAAAATACAAAATTTAGTTAAAAGCACCAACTTTTTTGGGGAACTTCCTTATTATAGACATATAGGATGTTCAGTAAGTAAAGAAACGGGATTTTATTGATCTCATTAAACACTTACTAAACGCATTGTTTAATAATAATTTGTTATATATTAATTTAATGTCTCATTTAGAGTTAATAGAAAGATGTTCATGCAAAAAAGAACTTAGACACGTAGTCTTAGAACCTTGCCTTCACAAAATAGGTATGAACTGTGCTAAATATATTAGTAATAATAATTACCAACCCAAGTGCCCAATGTGCAGTGAAAATATTGAATTCTTCCGCACCGATGGTATGGACTTATTATAAAATACTACGTGATTGTTTAACTATAATTCACGCAATACTTAAAAATATGTAATTTTTTCTTTTCACAATTTTTAGTGCTTAGGATCTATAATTTTCTTCTTAATATTGCATGAACTTTGTTAATAAAATACATATATGATAGGCACTTCTGATTCCATTTAAAAAATAGAAGTTGACACAATGTGATAATGTTATAAGTAGTCTTATGATGAAATTTTTTTTTGAAAATTAAAGAATCTATAAATGCTATTATTTTTTGAAAAGAAAAAATTGTAGTATGTTTTATAATTTAAAGGTTATATTACATAAGTCACATTATATATTTTATTATAATTATATAGCAAATGTACATATTCTCTTAAATATATTACAATATTAGAATTATTTTCCCTAAAATTCGTATTCATCGACTAACATTTTTTATTAGTATAGCATAAAAAAATATTTTTAATGTTATTATTTTTTTATGAAATATCAGGACACCACGTAAAAATTCTTATGAAATTGTCATATAAACTGAAAATGTTTATAATTGTTTTGTTCTCTTAATATGAATTCTGTTTAATTATTTAATAGGTCTCTTGAATAATTTACAATTTAATAATTACATATAATTTTTTTTAGAACCACACATAAGTAATTTATTAAATCCAACGTATTTAATACGTATCAAAAATTTAATGCTCAAATATTTGTAAAATGAAGAACATGGTGTAACAAGAAGGAAATCTAAAAGATTTTATTTGAATACTATGTATATTATAATAATAATGGAGTATTTTATAATTATAATATATTATTATATATTATTATATATTATAAATTGTATCATTCACACATGTAATAATCATCAAATTTATGAAAATATTTCAATAAAAAATTGTTATCTTATCAGTGTATTTTTTAAAAAATGTTGGACAACCCTATTTTTTATTTTTAAAAGGGTAATTTATTTAATTAAAAATTATATATTCACACCCATATATATTGAAAGGTTACAAATATAAAAAAAATCAAACTAATTGGCCGCAACGAAAAATTTGTAACTTTCATGACGCATTGAAAGGGTTGCCAACCCACTAAACGAGACAATGTATTGTCGGACTACAGTAGGATTTTAAAAAGAAATTAAATTGTGTAAATTAAAAGCAATTTAAGATAACAAAAAGAAATAGAAAATTAATAAATATTAAAGTTGATGTCCGTTGAGTTGTTGATAGTAGATGTACACCAAAACCTCGTGACAATTGTCACATAACCATATAGATCAGGGATGACCTTATACAAGAACCATTTAGAACAAGAAGAATCTAGTACACGCACGTATGTAAGTAAAAAGCGCTTCACGCGATCTCTCCTATGGTGATAGGTGAGCTTTTTTGTCTTATTATATTTTATCTTATTTGCCTTTCCTTTTATTTTCAGATGCGGTATTTCGCTCGTTCGGGTTTTTGTCCGCATTTAACTTAATTATTTTTATAAAAAATATAAACAAAGTTAACCTAAACAACTTAAAAACCTTGTCATGTTTTCATAAGTATCTTAAATATTTATGTCTAAACTTTAATAATTATTACAGTTTGGACATAAAATATTTTAATCTTCTACTGATATTATTTACGTTTAAAATAAATGATTAATATCAAAATTTGATATGATGAGTTATATTTAAGGATAATTTTGGAAATTGTAATACAATTTCAATATAATTAACTTTATACTATAGAGTATAAAACTATTTTTATTAACTAGTACAAGAAAAGAAGCTTTTTATGAAATGTATAAATTTATTATTTGAATGAACGCAGCGCCCCGTGATATTCACGCGGGTTCGTTAACGTTCATTGTTTTATTTTGTCTTAAGTCAGGCTATGACGAGGAAAAGGATTAAGGTGAGAGCACTGTGCGACGCGAAATACTCGGACGACCAATCGCCGAGTGAAATCACGTCTCTAAAGGTTCCTTAAAATAAAATTAAAAGAATAACGTTTTTAATGAACTGTAATTTATTTANATTTAATAACATAGTATTGTAATTTTTACGGAGAAATTATAAAGTAGTTATTACCTTTATGGCAAACGTATATAAAAGTTTAAAGTCTTGATGCAATACTTAAAAAAAAAGATTGTTTGTTATTTATAAATAAATTTGCTGGTCTACAAGGAACATTCATCCGGGATCAAAATATACTTTTCTAAACCCATCTTAAAATAGACTCATTAGATCATTTAAAGCCACAAAATAAGTTTATTACAAAAAAGCAACCCTTGATAGTGCAGTCAAAATCTTTTATCATTGTAGCGGAACGCATTTGCTTGTTTGTCAATGAGAAGAAACGGTACTTTAATAAACCTGAAGTGTTGTGACCCAACCTGCAAAATTGCAGAACATAATTCAAGCAACCAATAGCTATAGGCCTGAGATAATGGCCCTCCAAGAGATGAGATGGCCAGGAACTGGTAACTTGAAGTCAGACAATGTAATCTCATTTTGTAGTGGATCAAACAATGAGAAGAATGAAAATGGTGTAGGTTTTATGATAAAAGATTCACTACAAAACTTAGTGAAAAAGTTTGAACTAGTCAACGATAGACTTTTTTCTCTTACTATAACTGGTAAAGTTTTTGATATTGTGTTGATAAACTGTTATGCACTGTAGTGTTTTGGTGTTTATATTTATTACAAAATACTACAATTAAAATTTATAATAATTAATACTTTTTAATAATGAAAAATAATTTTATACGTACATAAAAAAAGAGTACAAATAAAAAGTGTCACTGGATTGACGAACAGCGCGAGAATAAAAAAAATACACGGAGTGTTATCGTACTGCAGTACATCTAAGATAAAACATATAAACATATATAAACGCATTCATTGTGACATGTTATTTAACATCTTTGTTAATCCCTACATTACCCCCTTTCCAGTGAAAACGATAATTTTACGTTAAACATACATAGTTACAAATATCAAATATAAAAATACAAATACAAATATAAAAGTGATACAATTCACAATTTACAAAAACCTTACGGGGAAGCGGATGGTTCTTCCTGACTTGGTTTGTTTTGTTTGTATTATTGTCGGTCTTGTAGTTGTATTTTTCTGGTTGTGCTGGTTCGTTGTTATTGATAGATTTGTGTTATTATCTTCATTTTCATTGAAACATGGCTTCAGTCTGTCTA